TATATTTTTGAACACTCCGATGTCATCTTGTTTTATTTCAGCCCAACAGGTGGGCAATTTGTCTGAGCATCATGGGCGTACCGGGCGGGGGGGCGGGGGGGGGGCCGGTAGCCCCCCAGTTTTTTGGGCAGTCGGGCAATATTCGCTGAACAGTCGGGCAATTTTGGTTAATTAAAAAAATAAATGGGACAAATTCTGTAAATTTTGCGGAAAATTTTGTGAAATTTCCCAAAATTTTGTAGGTTCCGGACAATAATGGTATGTCCTGAAAAAATTTTTGACCCCTAAAGTGGTACACTGACCGAAATTTTTTTGGCGACGGGGGGGGGCCTAAAATGGTACACTGACCGAAATTTTTTTGGCGACGGGGGGGGGGTCGCCAAACCAAATTCCGGAAAAAATTTTTCGGTACTTGTCGGGCAAAATCAGGAAAAGTCGGGCAAATTTCTTGCCGCCCCCCTAAATTTTTCCTTCCGGTACGCCCATGCTGAGCATGCGCGAAGAAAATCAATATGGCGACATATAGGAGTGTTTCGTGAATTTATCTGGTTTTAAAGCTGATAAAACAACATTTTAATGAATGAAAACTTTGTAATATTTAGTGGAAAACATTAAGCTATTGCAATTCCAAAGGTTTTAAATTGAAAATAAGTACTTTTGCTTTATTTTATTGCTTTTTATGCTTTGAAAACAGGCAAGCTCATTTTTTTGCAAAAATCTAATCTAATATTTTACCCATCATTTGTTTAATCTGCACAGAAATAGATAGAACACTTGGCTATATAAGTTACAAAGGTATTGTTAGCTTATCTGAAAGATTTCATTCCTGGTACACATTTTAACAAAGAATGAAATGTAATTTCAAAAATTTAATATGCATATCACAAGCAATAGTTTTTATTAGAACAACACATAATAACTTGTTATTTTCTATTTTTGCAAAAACAAGTTTGCAAACAGGATTTAGTCCTCCAGCTTGATGTCATATTCCATTTATTTGGATATTTCAATAAAGGAATGTGAAATAATAATTTAATCTTGTGCAAAATTTGATACCAACACACATGTGAACAGATAGTAGATACTATCACCTAAAAATAAAAGAAAACAGAACTTAAATTTATCATCTAATGCTATGAAAAAAATCTTAGATACTGCAGGCACATAGTGAGCACAATTATTTAACAAACTCACTAAAATAAGTTAAGTTATACTATGATAAGAGGATGGCAATAGATAACAACATCAAATGTTGTCATCTTCAGTGTCCAAAAAAAGTGCCGCGCGCATTTTTCGTGGTCGCATAACTGGTATTGCCACAAACTCAGGTGAAAAAGCAATTAGAAAAACCTGGTTTTGGGTGATGAGCATAGTCAAATTCTTGACTTATTCAATTTTCTAAGTTTTCCCAGGTAAACAGATTAAACATTGAAATAAGCCACATTCGGGACCTCATAGAATCCAAACTATTGTGTATGGACCAGGCTATTTTCAATTTTCTGTGATTTACATAACACTAGTTATAATTTAAGGGTCAACTAGTATTGTTCAAGATATATTTTCCTTCCAGAACACCTTTTCAAAATATTAACCCAAACATATCAAAAATAGTGTACATTTACAAGGGCAATTTCAACCCTCTTGCACATTTTTCCCATGAATGATTTCAATTCTAATATAAAGACTATAGATAAAACTTTGATTTAAAGCTAGTTTCAAGTGATGAGCATACCCTAATTTTTAAGCTATACCTCAAAGAAGATGGGTCATTTCAACATAAACATTAAAATATGGGTATATTGACAGTTCTGTCACACGTGTCATTTGGCATTAGCAGACCTTCTGAAACATTTTAATGAAAGTATAATTCACAAAGTTCACATTTTCACTTACTTCTTAACATCTGTTTTAATCCAACTAGCTCTGTAGGCACGAGCGAAATTTAGTGTTGATGTAAATATCCATTTAGTTCATGTTTCCCCGGTGAAAATATAGTCTATTCCAACGGTGATTTCGACGTACTTTAGCTTTTCAGAAACCGTTGGCTTTCCTCAGTGAGATTATTAACTGTTTCACAAATATATTTGATAGTAAACAGCTAAAATATTCTCCCGAAAGTCTATATTTTTGCTCTTCGACGCGAAAATGGCAACTCAAGAAGAAATGAGCCGCTATTTTTGGTCAGCGTCGACAAATTGCCCACCTGTTTTTCAGCCCTGCTTTCGCACATTTCATAATTTTTTTCTTGTCCAAGTTGTCCAATCCTGGATTGAGATCAGTTTTTCTAATCTGCGCGTGCGCATTAAGTGTTTTGTGGTCAAGCGAATGCGTATTTGCAGCACAACAATGGCGATTTACGAATTTCAAAATACGAGGAAGCCTGAACTTTGGAGAGGTTGTACTTCAATTTTTGCAACTATTTCGCTTGGGGGAAGTGGATTCTAACTAAGTAAGTTCTAATCTATCGATTCATGTAAAAATTATATAGTTACACGAGGGGTGCTACGGAATTGAACATTTTCAACCCTCATCCAACGACCTGAGTATGTGTACTGGGGGGCGGAGGGTAAGTTGGGCGGGGCGGGGGGGGGGTATGAAACAAATTATCTAACTTTTGGGGGGTATGAGACGACTTACTACATTTGTAGAGGGGTACAAACAAAAAATAAGTGGAATACTATGTCTATGATTAATAAAACAACATACTTTTATAATACAATATACTTTTAAAAAATCGAGTGTATGTTCCTAACCGTAATTTGCAATGTAGCATGCACTGTAGTATTTATGAAAGTGTCTCAATCGGAACCTTAGGCTATTAGTTTGACATGTCTGCAACCTGAACAATCTTTGATTACGTTATTTTACCGTCGGGTGGCTCCCCTGCTCGTTTACTTTTAGAATAATTTAAATATTGAGAAAGATATGAAATACGTCACGACGTTCTGTTTATATAACCAAAGTCTACAAATATGTGAGATCCTAACCTGAGATCAGGCTCTATTTTAGAAATATAGCCTGACACAAACCTTCATCCGATCGCTTTCCATTCACAGCAAAGTTTGTATTCAGTATCCAATCAAAATGTCACAAGAGAAATTTGCAACTAATTGGAGAGCAATCTTTTAAAAATAATTTCGTGAGTAATTTGTTTGTTTCGCAATTTTTAATTAATGAATTGGTGTTTTGAGCGTTTTTGTATAAAAATTGGTATCAATTAAATTAAGATTTTGAGTTATGTTTTTCTTTTTTTCTAGACTTGCCCCAAGTCTCTCTCGAATGGGTTTTGATAGGGTATATCCGGTTTATTATGAGATCAGTTTTGAACTTCAACTTCAAAACTGATCTCATAATAAACTGGATAATTATACCCTATCAAAACCAATTCGAGAGAGACTTGGGGCAAGTCTACCTTTTTTCCAGATCGGACCCAGATTTTCACCAAGGGCATATAAATAGTATTATGATATAAAGTATAGTGCTTAGTGATTAAGATATAAAGTATAGAGATGGCGAGCACTGATAATCTCACATGTGAGATTATTACTCGGGCTCAGCTCGAGTTATAGTTTCGGTGGGGGGTTTCTTCGCGCAAGACTTAGTCTCCCACGCGGCCACTCTTAATTCTGACCAATCGAAACAAATCGTGAACGCATGTGACTATCTTGTTGGCGTTCAATGGCTCATTCGACTTCCCGCTCTTCGTGCTGTCGTTCAATGGCTCATTCGACTTCCTGCTCTCCTGGCAGGTCACCAAAGAGAAAGAATGTGGAGGTAGGACTCTATGTTGGGGGCGAAAGCGTGTCACACCAAGTCCTAGTAACGCTGTTAGAACTGACCAATTTGGTCACTGGCCAGTGTATAAGGACAAAGGACGATACACAAAGTGAAAAGCTGGTTTTTCCATAGTGCACTGCAGTAAATGCAAGGTTTGCCTATGCTTTACAGGCCAAAGAATTGCTTTATTGAATGCCACAATGGACTATAAACACTGACAATTCACAGCGAAACATCCGATAGAGCGTTATCTGACTATTTTATTACTATTTTTAGGGCATTATATATTATATTGTATTTTATTTTATATTGAAAATAAGAGTATTGGTAAAATATATAAAAACATATTAATTGTTCAAAATATTGTCTATTCTCTATCCGGTTTCTGGCAATTTTGCTATATGGCAACAAATTGCTGCACCCCCCGGATTTCAATGAAATTCATTTTTTAAAAGAAGTTTGTATTTTGACCTAAATAGGCTAGAATTATATGAAAAATATTTATCACGATTTTTCAGTATTTGACAATTAAGGTTACTTCACACGATGAACGTGCGTTCTGGTAGATTGGACATTGCGCAATGAATTTTAGGTGTAGGTTTACAAAATTTTCGGTGAAAAAAGCCAGAAAAATACAGATTTCGAAAATCTTCGTTTGACGGGTATTCGGGCAAAACCTTTCAAGTTTGAGCTGATTGAGTAAATATATAGGTACTCCATAAAAAATCAAACTAAATTCACAGTTCACCGCAAAGTTTGTCTAGATATCGTAATTTGAATCTTCATAGGCATGGTAAAAAAAACGTGTGCGGAAAATTTTTCTTTTTCAACGGTTCTTTTGATATACCATTCTTTTTACGGCTTCGTAAACTATCATGATAAGTCCGATTAAAATCCCTATAAAAAGACTGGTAATTAAAAAAGATATGGCTACCGACCAAAACGGAGTAACTTCCAACACAACAAACGTTGTGTCCAAAATTTGAAGAAAATCGAAGAAAACCCAAGTGTTAATTTCACACTTTTGTACGGTAATTTTGTTAGAATTCCATCATTGAGAAAATTAAGTTTGAAGTTTTCGCGGACTTTTTCGTCGAATATAATTAGCTTGCTGCTTGCGTATACTATGAACCAATCATAGTTCTTTTTGCCAGTTCTCGTTTCCGGTTCAGAAAGTTGTACAAAACAAAGTTTAATATTTTATGCCTAAAGTTTAATACGACATGGGGAAAAGGCAACGTAATCCGCTTAAAACCAACAATGTGGATTCTAGTACTGCCGAGAAACCTGCAAAGAGGAAAACGAAAAAGTTGTTTACTGAGCAAACCGAATGCGCAGTCAATTTTAAGGAGAAATTGCTGTCAGAAATAAAAGACCTCCGGTACGTATTCGCTTTCACACTTGACATACACCAAGTTTTATACCAAAGAACGTAATACTATATGAATACTATAATATAATACTATATTGTTTTCGTGTGCATACGTAACATAATATCATACACAAAATAGATGTGATGGAACAAACTTCTGCAAAAGTTTAGAAGCAAACGTCGAGGACAGACTTAAAAAGAGGGGGAAACCTCCAAGAATGATTCGATATTTTCATTATTGTGGATGGGCCCATGCACTGATGGTAAGTTCAGCTTTGAATTTGTACTTTGTGAAATATTCTAACTAAAGATAGCTGATTATTCGTATTACAGTAAGTCTTTATTCTTTCAAACTGTTTAATTAAAAGCTAAAGTAGATGGATTTGCATTTAAATTATAATAATAAAACAATTGTCCTTTGACAGAACTTAGGTATGATATGCCATGTCATGCCTGTCCATGTTGTATTTATAGACACAATATTAAACCATGCATTTATTGGCCAGACAGAGTAAATACTAAAGTAGGGCGTATTGCCAGCTAATATGGTAACTTAGGGAGGCATTGGCAGATGTTAACCCATTTACTGGCAATACCATACTATGCCATTGACAAGTAAAATTGTCTGGCGTTAGACAGAGTAAATACCAAAGTCAATTCATACAAAAATTTGGTTAAACTTTTCAGAGAAAAATGTCGGTCCGAACATAGTTAATGGGCGATATGGTTTGGAAGCTCGTTTACTTCCGGTATTATGTTATGTTATTCAATTTTGTGGTCACATGACTACGAACGACTACGGCGTTGTGACCAATATGGCGACTATTAGCGAAGAAGGAATGCAAACCATGGGAGAAATGTTTGAAAGTGGGGAAGCTTTAGCGGCAGAAAATGAAAAGGCACAGCTTGATGTGTTAGTTGATGTGATAAACGAACACCTGGACTATTTTAATGAGGACAAGGACTTCGAGAAAGAGGTTGAAGATGCCGTTCAGGAGATTGAAATACCACCAAAACATCCGTGTCCGAATTGTACGAAAATATGCAAATCAAAAGGCGGTCTCACTCAAAGCATACGCTCCTTGAGACAAATGATGGCAAAGATGACAACAGCGCTAGCACTGCAACCAAGCCAACCATTTCAAAAGCGATTGTAGAGGATTTGTTTAAAAAAGCTCTAAAACTCTAAAATCAAGGATAATTTATATGGGGAGGAAATCGTTATTATTTGTAAGAATCTAAAGCCATCTTCGTTTTGTGTTGACGTTCTCGATAAACTTCATCGACGTTTCATCAAGAAATCGAATCAAGATACTTTGGTAAGTGAACTATACAAACTCTTGTCAAAAGAACCTGAGGAACTTGTCGACAACCAACCAACTGATAAACGGTGGTCAGTCGAGCAAATTAGAATCGCTGTGAATCTGTTGTTTATCCATTTACCCGAGTTACTCGTTTTGGCAACTTGCAAGAGCCAAACTAGTGAACAAACTAAAGATACACCTGAAGTGAATGAAAGGGAAAGGGTTCTTACTTGATTGGATCAGTCATTTCCAAAATGTTCAGGACGAGCAAATTTAGAAAGAAATCCATGTTAGAAAGTACATTAACAAATAAAGAAGAACTTCAGGATCTGCTGCAATCAATGAAACGACCTGACAATGAATATATTTTATCACTTTCAAGAGGAGGACTGTGGACTCCATGTGACGATTTAGTTGCTATTGGGTTTGAAATAGAGAAAACATTTCGATATAAAACTGTTGCTCATGATGTTACAAAACCTATTCCAATTTCAGAATTACGGACTAATATACTAGAAAATCCAAAAGTGAAGAGCCTTTGGAGCAACATCATACAAGAATGCCCTTACTTGATATCTCACGATTGTTCGAAAGTTTGCCTTGAGAACATAACCTTTTTATATTTAAAAATCCGAGCATTCTCCTTTTCGAGAGGTTTAATTAATAAATACAGAAAACAAAACAGTTCAAATAGCAAGAAGGCCTTAAGGAAAACTCTACAACAGAAATCAGAGGTCAATCCTGAATAGTTATAACTAGGGATGTGCCAGATACGTTCTGGATTATAGACGGGTAAACTTTGTTTACATGGTTTGTATAGTCTAATTATGCAAACATCTAATAGAACAACTTGTGTGTGTTAAAGCTTTCATGTCCAAGCATCTTGGCAGGCAAAATATATCAAATTGTGTAAACAATGTTTATCCTGCTATTTGGTAAAGTTTTGTCGACCATAAAACTACCTATTTATAACTAGGTTTTAAAACTGCGTGCAATTATATTGAAAAAAGTGCAGTCCAAGAATAAACACACAATTGTTATTTCTTTTTTGCTTTTTTGGCTTTGTCCAGAGGCTCTTCAATGATGTCGTTCCACCTGGATTTTTCTGCACTGCGTTTTCCAGTGTTACCAGCTTTGATAGGCACAATGTTGTGTTGGACATCAAGGGCTCGATCATTATATGAAAACTGTGATGCATCGGGATTATCCGACCTTCTGCCCCTTTGTCTCTGATTTCCGAAATATTCTTCCAACGGGTCTTGCTGGAAGCGTTCTGTCAAAACACTATCAACACCTTGGGCAAGGAGGAACTTGACAGTCTCGACAGTTGAATTGGAATGCACAGTGATTTGAAGGCCTTCATAAGTTTGTTGCGAAATGAACATCTTAGCTTGAGCTGTTGGTAGGAAATTTCCAGGACGAGTCTCGACAGCTTTTTTCCAGTCATGAAAGACTGGAGGAAAGTGTTTACTAACCATTCAAACCTTTTATCATCCAGTGATCTATATGGTCCCAGGAGTACATTCCGTTTACAGGTAGCCTCATTGTATGCACGAACATTTAAACAGTCGAAAAAGTCATTTATTAATTTACAAAATATTGCTGTTTCATTTGCTTCTCCTTCTGGATAGCTACGGATAAGGGCTTGGGCCATCCTATTGCTAAGGATCTGTGTTATGGAAAAATAAAACAAAGCAAATAGAAACAAAGTAATACTTTAATGATCAACATATCAAATTTGATGATTCAGTGAGTGCAGTGGTTTTCATTGGACTCATAGGAATTCCTTAAAAAATACACTGCATATTTACTAACGTTTAGTAACGTTTACTAACATTTAGTCACAATCCTGATTAATACAACTTTATATAATTATATTTCTTGGCAAGCAATGTCATCACGAACTATTGCTTGAGCCACATGCTCTAACATGATATATAAAACTGTATGTATTACCATTTGTTGTTTAGAAATATAAACATTGTCAATTTCATGCTCATATTTCACTTTGGAATTTGGATTAACAATTTTAATAGATCACTTCCGGTTTTGAAACAAAGATTGTCCAATCACGTTAGCACGTAAAGTTGCTTGTTTTGACAACATGAGAACAAACTGGAGAAGAAATATATCTGTTATTTCTAAAATGGATTGTTGTTTTCGATCCATTTGTGACTTGCCCTTGAAAATATAGACAAGATGTTCATGAGGACAGGAGACGTATTAGTTTGAAAACGAATTATTAAGAAGCCAAGGCACTTTCTTTCGTGGTATGATTTAAATCTATACTATTTTAAAAATATAAACAAATCTAGAAATCACCTGGGCAGCAAGATTTACTCTCATCTTTGAATAAGATGTTAACATGATATGTTCAATTGTTAGCTTAGGAAGTTGGTGTAGCCCCAGTTCCAGATCAGAATAATATAAATCTGATATATAGTTCCACAATAAAAATTGATCATTGTTCCACATGCACCTTGATTTCAAACCAGAACCAGATTTAAGCAAGCAGTTTCTAGCCGTTTTTAATAGATGTGGAGCATCAGCAAAAAACCAAATCCACTTTCCTGGGGCAAAGAGGTTTTTTTTGTGTTTTTTTTTAAATTTTTTTTTATTAACTTTACAATCATATTATATAAAAAATACACATACAGCTATGATTGAAGGATTGGACAACAGAACTAGAATCCCATACTAAGTCCATCCATCTAACACTAAAACACGACATATTACGGACTGCAAACTGGACAACGTAAATACTGATTTTACAGGCCTTTATACTATATAAAACATGCAAGAATAAATACATAACTACACTACTGTGAAATTAGAGGTTCAGTTTTGACCCCCACCACCACCAACACCACTAGTTAGAAACCATTAACCACTTACATGCGAACCAGGTCAGCGCGAGGTAGTGATAGCGGTAATGGAAGTCAAAAGTGAGTCCAGCCATTTTACACCAGACTTTAAACCTAACAACACGTATTTTACAATATAAACATGCAAGAATAAACACTACACTATCAAAATTATTTGCGAGGTTCAGATTTGACCACCACCACCATCATCACTAGTTGGAACCACTAACCACTTACATGCAAACTAGATCAGCGCGAGGAGGTGATGATGGTAGTGGAAGTCAAACCCAAAAACCTCGCTATTTAACACCAGACCAGCTACGAACAGCAGGTGATATTGCTCGAGCGATATTTCAAGCAAATCATAGTTTTCCATGTCCTTGGACGCTCAACATCAAAGTCCGAGTTTAGTTTATTAAGATAATGAGTATATAGTTTGGATTTAAATATAGCGCAATAGTTCGATGACTTGATATGACTAGGCAGATTATTCCATAGTAGTATTATTCTGTTAAAGTAGGATGATCTGAAGGTTGAGGATTTACAAAGGTTAGGTCGGCGTAGGTCGGATGAACTGAAACGAGTAGTGTGAAGGGAAGGTTGAGTGGAATATTGCTCTATATCTACTTCGTAGCCACCAGATTTGCATTTATAGTAAAATGTTAGATCTTCAATTTCAAACCAGTAGGAGATTGGCAGTAAATTTAAACTTTTCAATCTGGAAGAGTACGAGGAATGGTAGTCTTGCGTGATGAAATTTGTTGCCCGTCTTTGAATGCCTTCTATTAGAACGAAGTCTCGCGATGATCCTTGGGGTGACCAAATCTCACTGCCGTAAGACAGGTGAGATCTTACTAATGTCAGATATAGCAGGCGACGACAGTGGATGTTGGTGAGCTGCGTACAATGCCGTCTTAAGAATCCCAGCATTCGATTGGCTTTAGCAACCACACGGGCAATCTGATTTGACCACTTTAAGTCATCACTGATGAATATCCCGAGGTGTTTTTGGATATTTACACTCTTTATTTCTTCATTAGCAAGGTGGTAATTGGCTGGCATAATATTTTTCTTCCTTGTAAACCTTTTGTTTTATACAAAACTTTCTGGTTGTTAAGTTTTTCACCAATATAAATGTGGAGTTGATAAAATTTGCGGTTTGGTGAAGCCCCATCACTGACTGCAGCAATAACATTCAAGTTTGCTTTAAGTTGTAATATAGCAACACCACGCCAAAAAAGTGGCATTAATTGATAGGAGACCACATCTCGCGTGAAAAAGTAACCAAGCATAAACTGCAATTTAGTGGTTATTCCCCTGACATAGAAAGCAAGTACATGGGTAGCTGGTTCAATTTTATCAAATGTTGAATAGTTGACATCTGGATCACCGATATCCACAAATCCAACCAGGCGTCCAGAATGTTTATCAAACACTAAATTACATTTAATCTTCATCTCATCAAACATGACAACAATCCACTTGTCTTTATCCAGGAAACCCTTTGTTCTGGAAATCAATGGCTTGATGTTCTCAGGCAAGTACCCTGCTCCTGGTTTAAAGTTGTTTCTGTAGGATCTAAATGTTCTGGAACTAGGTAACTGCATTGTTCCAGAATCTCTCAATTCTTGGTAAACAATAGGCGACTTTGAATAAATAGGCAAACAGAACCGTATAAAATGTGGATACCACCTGTTACCAAAGTTTGATTGTTGATTCAGTGCTTTCTTCTGTTGCTCCCATACAAGTTTCATGTGTGGAGTTGCTTCTAATGATGTGTTAGTGATGATACTTGTAAGTTCTTTCCCCAAACCAGTTTCTATTCTAATACCATGATGTTTGATCTCATTCTCCATTCGTTGTACTCTCCTTTCGAGTTGTGCACACTTCAGCTTGGCTTCTTTCAAATTCACCCTTGTGTCTTTTACAGTTGCAATTAGTTGTTCTTTGGAAAGGCATGACAGTGGTGTTTTACACTTAACAGAAGCCACATTGAAGTTACCTCTACATTGCTGTTTGATTCTCGACTGCACGATTCGCATTGCAATTGTTTACTGTCACTTAGTATGGATGAAACCAGAACACGACATGAAAGCGCACGACAGTATTCAACTGTACGATATTGTGGAGAAGAGTCATTTGGTAACAGGGGAACAAGTTGTGTTTTCACTGATTTGCTTGACTTCAGGGGAAATAGAGTTCCTTTGCAAATACCCAGAGATACAATTTCGCTACAAAGCGTCTTAAAATTACAGCACTGCAAAGAACGCTCGTTTGAAACGTATATGGGATGATCATTGGGCAATGCCCAGTCATAAACAAGAACAGTATAATTAAGAGTAGATTCGACACGTACAGAAAACTTTGCAATCGAGTACTCACTTTCTTTAAACTCAATAACAGTGTTATTTCCTTCTTTGAACCAATTCCAACCTTGAAAATATGGGTACCTTCCAGCTTTTTTCAAATATGCATCGAACTTATCAAGAGAGGCATATATAATTGTAGTTTCTTGAGAAACATGCCTTGGAGCTGGTTCTTTTCTCGGCGCATTAGTGCTAAGATGATCGAAGCTTTTGACGGGGAGATTTTCTGTTGGAATTGAACCAGTTTGGAGGGACTTCCTTTTGGAAAAGTTTTCAATGTACTCCTCTTTAAAATGACTCTCACAAATATGTATGTTGTTGTTTTCGATCTGTGTCTTCAAGTTCGCATCCAACTGTCTCGTTCGTAATATCGCGTTAATCCAACCATTTCGTGCTTCTTCCTTACGATGAAAAGTAAATTCGCTGTCTGAATTACGAGGAACTGGAATTTGAAACAAACTCACGTTTTTGTACCGCCTACTGTGAAAACAATTGAAAGCGCAATTGGGCATTCGTGTATCAAATTACTACGATATTATATTACCATATTTTGGCGCTTTTTCGATTGTAGTCGTTCGTCGTCCCGTGACCTTAGAATTTAATCGGTTAACATTATAATTACGTCATCGCAAAATAGGGGAAGCTTCCAAACCATCTTGCTCCATTAACTATGGTCCGAAGGATGCAGAATACGCATTTCCTCCTTCTGTGTTGTCATATCTTAGAAGTATTTGCCCAGGAAATATCAAAGGAGTAATAAGAGAAGTAAGGGTATATATTTATTCAAACATAGGCTACTGTACATTTTTTACCTTCATCACAGATTTAATTGTATACTTTATATTATACTGGACAGTGTGTATAAACATTACCAGGGCCCCATGACATTATTTTTAAGCTATACCTTATGTTCTCGTCTGTTAGAACGGTCGTTAAATAGTATGTATACAAGGCAGAACTCTTTATTTCTTACCGATTTAAAAATACAAAACACGCTGTCTTAAAATCAACACTAAAAGACGCCCGCATTACGCAAGCGCAGCGGTTATATATGTCTTTACTTTATATTACAGGGAACGATTCGTTCCTTAACATCCCCCTCCCGAATGCAATGCATTCGAAATAAGGTTAATATAAACATAAATTTAAGTCTGCGAACGTCTGTTCAATACCAAGTATGCGCATATAACTATCGGATACAATAAGGTTGTCGTGAACTATTAATCACTGTCTATCATGCACTAGTGTCGTCACTGTCCGACTGTTCTTCGATATACTCAAGGGGACACAGGCGATGTACAGGTCTAATATACTCTTTGCTCTTTGCATGACTGCACTTTCACAGCTCTCACAAGGCCGTCTGCACCAGGATAGGTTTCCATTACACGACCGAGAGGCCATTCTCCGCGGTTGTCCTTAGGTTCTGCAATCAGCACCACGTCTCCTTCCTTTAAATTGTGTTTTGGATGAAACCATTTTCTTCTGACGTTGAGACGCGGAAGAAATTCTTTTCTCCATCGTTTCCAGAATTGTTGCAGCAGTTGTTGCACGCGATGCCATCGTTTTCTTGGGTTGTACACTTCTGTTTGTCCAGTGCTTCTGGGGCGAATGATCCTCCAATTTGTCCAACGAGTAAATGATTCGGTGTAAGTGGCGAGAGATCGTTGGGATCTGAGCTAACGTATGTGATTGGTCTGGAATTCAACAGTCGTTCAGCTCCGCATATGGCTATGTGTAGTTCCTCGTCTGTGATATCTGCATCTCCCAATATGGCTTTGATTGCTTTCTTCGCACTTTTAATCATCGCCTCAAAGACTCCGCCAAAATGAGGAGCAGATGGAGGATTAAACTTCCAGTCGACGGGATGATGCTTGCTGATACCTTGAATGATCCTGTCGTGGTCGAGGGCTTCAATCAATTCTCACATTTCACGTTCTGCACCAACAAAGTTCGTGCGATTGTCTGTGAGAACATAGGTAGGCGTCCTCCTGGAAGACATACGGGTAAACGCGTTGATAAACGAGTCCGTATCTAATGAATACGACATTTCCAGATGGACTGCCCTCGTTGCTAAGCAGGTGAACAGGCACAAGTAGCGTTTCGCTCTGATCTTACCACGTTCTTGTTTTGTTAAAAAAGGACCTGCATAATCGATTCCAATTCTGTCGAAGGCTCGCAACGAATACAATCTCGCCTTAGGTAAAGGGGCCATCATTTGACCGGCTGTTTGCATAGAAAATCTTCGTCGGCATTCTGGACAAAACTTGATGATGTTCCGTACTACACGCCGTCCTTTCACAATCCAAAATCGCACTCGCAATTGTGTTAAAGTATGTTCTATACCAGACCCATGGCCAAGTGTCTCGTGTGCATCAAGAACTACAAGGCGTGTCAGGTGGTGAATTTTTGGCAGGAGGATAGGATACTTTGTGTCGTATGGGATGTCTTCAGCGAGGTCATTATCATCTTTTGTTGGGTTTAATTGGACTAGGGACTTTTCATTTATGCCTTTAGGAAAAGTTTCTGTTTGCGTGTGTTTGATCCAAAACGTCTCAGCATCAGAGATCTCAGCAGAAGAAAGTGTTCTTTCATAGTTTCGTCCAGATTTCCCTCGAATCTTACAATTGGCGATGAACCGCTTAATCCAACCCGTCACACGATATAGACGTTTGAGGCTTGAGAAATGTGTAGGATCAATGGTAGTAAATTCATAGTTCTTAGTTGCATATGTCTTCGTGGATGATCGCCTTTCACACTGGTCAGATTTCGGTACGTCTTTACTAGGAGGTGTGGTTGGCCAGGCTCTTTCACCGTCTTTTAGGAATGATGGTCCTTCCATCCAAAATTTGTTCTCACTAAGGTCTGCCACTGATAAACCTCTGGTTGGTAAATCTGCTGGATTCTCCGTTCCTGGTACGTGCCGCCACTGTTCTGGACTTGTTGTACGCTGAATTTCCCCAATTCGATTGGCTACGAACGGTTTAAATTCGCGACTCTGGTTACGTACCCAGTAATACACATTTTCTGAGTCTGTCCAATAGATCACTCTGTCCACGGTTAACACGTTTAGGATACTTGCGGCTAGACGGCTTGAAAGAACAGCTCCCATTAGCTCTAGGCTGGCAACTGTCACCACTTTCAAAGGTGACACACGGCTCTTTGACGCAATGAGACGCGAAGTGAAGGGGTTGTTCGTGCACTGACAAACCAAATAGGCAACGGAGGCATAAGCATCTTTAGATGCGTCGGAAAAGAGGTGTAGGTCAACCGCCTTTGGGTTTGGTAGGCGTAAACATCGTGGAATGGCAACGCACGATAAGCTCTGGAGTTCAGATACCCAGTTTTCCCATTTCGTGCTAAGATTACTAGGTAAGACATCGTCCCAATCTAACCCTGCTGTCCATATTTCTTGCATGATAGTCTTGGCGCG